ACACACACTGAGACACGTACTTACAGGACACAGCGTACAGCGCCTTCACTTTGACGGTAGGGTGGGGGTCACAGTCTATGAGCTGCAGCAGCGTTGCCAAGGTGCCCTGGCGGAGTAAGTAGCACTGCACCTCGGCCATGTTCTGGGCACAGGAAGCTAATTGCATCAATTGTGCAGCAATTATTACATTACTTATACAGAATGGTGCAGGAAATGGTGAATGAAGAAGGAAGGAAACAGATGAGAGGAACCAAAAAATCTCAAGTAAGAAGACAGGATTACAGAAGAACTCAGCACACATCAATACCTTCAGAATGCACACAAAGAAGGGACAGGCTAGACAGACATACAGGTTAGACAAACCAACAGACAGAGAAAGAGACAGACAGGTTAGACAGACCGAGAGACAGTCAAAGACTGACAGGCTAGAGAGAGAGAGAGACAGACAGACAGAGAGGCTAAACATGAGGAGCAGACAGAAAAACAGCCTTTCTGCTCAATTCATATTCAACATAAGCACCCTGCCAGCCCCCCCACATCCACACTGTTCTACCCTGTCAGTCCCCCCCACACCCTGCTCCACCCTGCCAGCACCCTCCATACCCATGCACTCCCTCCCCCCCAGTTCTGTCACCTCACCCCTGAGCTCTGTTTCTAGTGAGAAGAACTGATTTTGCACCAGTGCATGCACCCCCACAAACACTCCCTGTCTTCCACACATAAACACACGATGCATATGACTGAAAGACCCACACACCAGACACTGAGCCACCCAGCATACAGTATATATATGTGAACATGGTACAATAGAGGAAACCTGCAGTACAGGAGGTGGAGGTGCAGCTGGGTTCACCTTCTGCGGGGGAAACGCACCCCTGCCCGCAAAAGTGCAGCACCTCTTATTTAAGGATTATTTTATGTTGCCTCTTATTTTATGTTAGCAAGATTACCTCATATTCCAGGATGTTTCAGACGAGATGTAGTATAAAATGGGTGAATTGATCTCAGTGAGCATTGTTATACATACGGTTTTAGCAATTTGCACTTCTCAGTCAGACGATCTGCACTTGTCAGTCAGTGGGGATTTGTTTGTCATGAACACTTTAAATATTTTATTTTATTTTTTTTTTTAACTTTTGTCCTGTCCGGCAGTTTTAGCAAGCAAAACCATGATCTAAATGCACTGCTGTGCCAAACATGTTTGTTTTCCCATGAGGGGCTCTATAAACTCTGTAAAGGCCCCTCCTGTTGATCGATTTCTTTTTATTTTATTTATTTATTTCATTTTTAGCACATGTAAAATACTTCAGTGGCTGAGCTGGCCGAAGAGGAGGGACAGATTAGATGGCGGAAGAAAAGGAAATAAAAGAAAAGAACAAAAAAGAAAGAAAAAAACGATATGAGTGTAGTAGAAAACACAATGCACAATCTCCAAATGCTGCACCTGTAAAGGAGAGGGAAGAAAAAAAAGGCAAAAGATCAACAGCAGTGCAGAAATGGAAAAATTCATGAACACAAACAAAAATAGAGAATGAAGAAAATAACACCGATATACAAACATACAAAATTGTTGTGTGTGCTTGGAGGGGTGCGTGCAAATGTATGTATGTGTGCTCAATTGTGTAGGCAAAATGTGCGGGCTTGTGTGCGTGTGTTGTGTGTGTGTGTGTGTGTGTGTTTTCAACATGGAACATACTAAATAGCGAGGGTGGGAGGCCGCAGCCACACCCCACAAGAGCCAGAGGTCAGCGGAGACAGGCCCAGGAAGCCCAGGACGACTGCAGCCCCCAAAGAGCAAGGAAGAGCCTTTGTCCTGTGAAGTGTATTCTATGGAGAGTTTTGTATTGTACAAGTTGTAAGTTGGGACTTTTAGTCATTTGGAAAGTGAACACTTTCTGTGTTAGTATTGTTGTGTTATGACTCTGTTTTTCGTTAGATGACCACCGACTCCTTGTCACTGTTGCCTCGAGGACTGAAAAACACTACAAAATGATCAAATAAGTTGTTTTATTAAGATACACTGTGACAGACAAATTCTTCCTGAAACAAATGTCATGCAGCTTCTTCAAAACTCCATTTGTATGCGAGGCCTAATTTCAGAAAGCGTGGTTCACAGCCAGCAGCTCCAGCTCGCTCAGCACAGGCAGACTCCGGCTCTCTGGCCTTTACATGCTGCAGTGTGGAGAGGAGATGCAGGTTGGCGCACAGATGGCCCTGCCCCTGACGGATGGCCCCGCCCCTGACGGATGGCCCCGCCCCTGATGGATGGCCCCGCCCCTGACGGATGGCCCCGCCCCTGACGGATGGCCCCGCCCCTGACGGATGGCCCCGCCCCTGACAAACTTCCTTCATCATTACCCACCCAGCAAGCTGCTCCAGAAGGATGCGTAGGTGGCACTCCCCGTCACTGCCCCCAGCTGGGCGGGGTTACGCCGCACAGAGGTCACAGAGAAGCCGTTGGCGCCCGTCACCTCGACTTCCACTATGTGGTACTCCTTCAGCCTGGGGGACAGGATGGAGAACAAGCTCGGCTCAGAGCGGGCCGGAGGTGGAGAGTGGCCCTGCTACGCTCCTTTGTTCATGAGAGACCTTACGCAGTATCAGAGACTATCTCCCCCATCACCCCGCTGAAGCCCAGGCTGTCTGCTGCTATGGCAGCCGCTGCCATGGTGTTCACATTGTTAGGGGCCAGCGGACAGAGGTCAGCCACGGAGCCTTTGAAAAGCACCCTCCTGCCTTCTCCCTCGGTCCAGTCCTTGGGCCCGTCCCCCGTCAGGCGGAAACAGGAGGGGTGTTTGGACATGCGGATGAAGAGATTCTGTCGACGGGATTGGAGATGGAGATTTTCACACGCTTCCTGCAGTGTTCATGTTTATGAACAGTGGCCCTTGTCTGCCGGCTTTCTCACCGTCAACGTACCGCTGTCGCTCAATCGCTGGATATCCTGGCTGCCCCACAGTGCGCCACTAGGCACGTAAAGTGTCTTCCCATGATGCTGTGCGGTCTGCCGTAGTTGCTTGTTCAACTGGAGGTCTGAGAGGGCAGAGGGGGAGCCCACCTGAAGAGTGAGAACTTTGATCAACCACTTGGCACTAGTCCAGGCAGCAAAGCACAACCATACCAAATCCAGTCAAATCACCCCCCATGCCCCCCATACCAGTAAGTGAGCATGCGAGAGGAACTCAGCCCCAAAGTCCTTCACAACCTGTGGGTGGCACACCTCCACGATCAAGTCTGCATTCCTAAGACACAAAGCACACACTGTAGCTACTGCAACACCCTCCACGTGCCCTTTCTCCCAGTACCTCCACCGCACTTTTCAGGGAAGTGGGACAGTTGATCTAGGATCAGTTCCTCAGGAACAGAGGCTCTTAGCTTCTGAGGGTTTCTGTTCCACACAAAGGCCAGGCGTAGGCCCAAGCTGTGACCCTCCTTCTGGATCCTCTCCACTAGGTACTGTCCTGGGAGCAGGAGACAGCTGTTCACCACAAGAATTGCCAGAGGGAAAAGCTAAGCAAGAGGACCTGAGAGAGATCTCAGCTGCTTTGAGTGTGCCCAAGTTCCAAAGGGAAGGTACGCTTATGAGACACCAACCTAAGTGGCCATATCCCACAACTCCAACAGCCATCACTCTTAAGGTGTCAGCCGTCAGGTCTGTGAAGAGACACAAACACAGACACGAGCACATGTTTTGATTATCGGTGGACACATGCTAAATAAAAATGACCCGACCACAGTGTAGTGTGTTTGTTCTTCCAGAAAGAGCGCTTTACCTAAATAAGTCGTTATCATTGTGGAGCTGTGGTCAGTATGCCCGCGGCACCGTGTTTCGCACGAGTGTTTTACAGTGGCGACTGACTCACCCATCCTGTGCTTTCTCCGTGTCGTCCTGCTGCTCAGCCAGGCAGCGCAGGGCAGCCTAGAGTTGGTCAAAGTTGAACTTGCACTCTGTTAATCATCAGCCCGTGTCTCTGTCACAGACGCAGTCCTTGCCTTGGGGCAGTGCTCTGCACAGCACTCACTTTCTCTGGTTGACCAATCAGAGGCCGTCTCACCAGGAGGCTCTCAAAGAAGAGCGTGGCCGGCTACCGAAGGCGCTAACTGATGTGCTTGGCTTTCCACATCAACAAGTCACAAGCTTAGTCTGTAGCTGCTTCTTACATAATGCACCTCACCCTTAAACCAGGCACAGTATTTTTAAATATCCTATTCTGTTTTTACATTTTATAAGAACAAAAGCTTTCCTGGTTTTTACTTGTATTTTCATAAGTCATAAGCTGCAGCAGTCTAATATTCTTGTTTTATGTGGATTACATTCATAATGCATTTATGTGTCCTCAGTCCCCTACCTCTCCTTGGAGGGATAAAAATGACCAGCACAGTCCTGACACCTGGTACCATCCTTACACGTCACCCCGCCTGTTCACCTTTGAGCTCAGTCTGCTGTTGGCAGGTTCGTCATATCACCTGTGGACACGAGGGCCTGGTGAGAGAGGGTGGACATCACCCATCATTGATAAAACGTAGATGTGATTAGAAGTGCAAAGTTCATAGTCTAAAGAAACTGAGAAGCAGCAGTAGTGTAGTCATACACAGGTTGAACAGAACAACTGAGGAGGTGGGGGACACTGAGGACATAGAGCAGAAGACACAGGAAGCAGACACACCTACTCACTGGTTTGTAGGCTAAACATATTGGACAAAATGGACATTCTGGAAACGGATGCATACGATCGAAGACAGCGCAGGGCCACGGTAAGGCATATAGTATGGTACTTCATCCTTTCATATGACCGGAGGTAGAGCAGGGCTGTGGTAAGACATACAGTATAGTACATTATCCTTGTGTATGATCAGAAGCAGGACAGGGCTGTGGTAAGACGTACAGTATGGTACTTAATCCTTGTGTATGATCAGAGCAGGGCTGGGGTAAGATGTACAGTATGGTACTTAATCCTTGTGTATGATCAGAGCAGGGCTGGGGTAAGATGTACAGTATGGTACATTATCCTTGAGTATTACTGGAGTCAGAGCAGGGCCACAGTATGACATACTGTATACATTATCCTTGGCAGCAGGTTGTACTACTACAGTCCTCATTAGTCACTGTGTAAAGATGAACATTGTACACTGAGCTGAACTGCAATCAAAGTTGTGTTTGTTCAGTATGACACATGATGACCTAACATGACTTCCATTGTACACCTCCTTCCCTCTTCTATCAGTCCGTCTTTCTATTCCTTTCCCTCCTACCCTTCTTCCTCTCCTCTTCTGCATACTTTTACCTGTGGATTCCTGAATCCAGCCCGTCTGTCTTTGCTGCAGCGGTGAAGTCCATCCCTGTGATCTCATTGGCTGCCGTGGTGCTGTGTTACCAAGGAGGGAGGAGCTTGTGGGGTGTAGCTGGAGGCCTGCTCTTCTCAGCAGGGGGAGATATTTGCCTTATATGGCATGAAATGTTTATCTATGGTAACTATTGGATACTTCCCTGGCAGATGCTGTTTGAAGAATTCCACTATTAGCCTGACACCACTCTATGTTCCCTGAATGTCCTTAATGTTGCACTTGGGTGATCATCGAATACTGTTATTAGGTTCTTGCTTTATTAGAAGATGTTGTGTAGCTTCTGCTCCAAATCTGTTTACTCTTGTACCTGGACATTCATTGGACGCCCAGCCTAGCAGCATTTATGTTTAGCTATGTACCCTTTCTGCTGTCCACACATCCTGCATTACACACACGTTCTCCTGTCCTATTCCACACAGCCTCATTTGAGTCCTTCTTTACCTGTTCGATTCTGGTTGTGGCGAAAGCAGCACACCAATGCCAGGGGGTCGGGGGAGGGTGTGGCTGCTCTTTGTGGACAGCTATCTGCCTTTGACACACAGTCACGCTCAGCTTTGTGTAAACCTGGACCTTCACGTTTCTCTTTTTCTCTCCCTCCTCTAGGCCTGACTTTATTTGCTGTGGCCCACGTCCTGTACTCAGCTGCATTCCTCTCCCACCGTTACTCCCCAGCGCCCTGCTCCTGCACCTCAGTCTTCCTGTCCATCCCACTGTGGCTGCTGGGGGCAGGTGTGTACTTCTACATGTATCCTAATCTACAGAAACAAGAGGACGCCGACGTCATCACTCTGGCCGTGGCGGGTTACACCCTTTTAATAGTAACCATGGCGACTCTGGCTGTACGCACCCATCGCCCTTCGACCTTCTTGGGCAGTCTGATATTCATGGTCTCTGACCTGAGTCTCGCCCTGCAAGTCTTTAAAATGATTGATCAAGCACCTGCTGGCAGAGCCGTCGTCATGACGACTTACTATCTGGCACAACTGCTGATTGCCGTGGGAGACGTCACAGCGGATGGCGACAAGGGTGGCGGGCTTGGAAAGAGGAAGAGGATGTAGGATCCGTTAGGACTATGGCCGGTCAGGAATGGATGCAGAATCCCAAAATGGAGAATCCTGCACAGCAACGTGCCCCGGACATCACTAATATTCCTGCACCTTCCCCAGCATGCAATAAAATTCTTTTAAAATGAATCCAAAATGGGAACCATGTGAACAAACTTTATTGAAATATCAGTGTATATATGAAAACAGGGATTCCATGTTATCCTTGATGTCAGTAAGTCATGTGTAACTTATCAGAGGCTTAGATGAAAAGCGGATAGTCACTCGAGCGAAAGGTGCACAGGTGTCTGTTTGTCTGCCTAATAAAGTGGCACAGAGGACTTTAGCTGCTTTATTGGGTTTGTTCTGCTGGATCCTCTCACACTCCCTTGCTGGTAGATTGTTAAGTTTGCATCTCATCAGACGAACACGAAGCCCAGCTCCGTGCTGACAGGGTCTCCATGCAGGTCTCAGCGGTCCATGCCGTTGTTGTCAGCAGACAGGTGCTGGAAGCAGGCCGTCTGCAGACGTTCGCAGTAAGCCAGCTCCTCCTGAGAAAGACACAGCCACATGGATAGTAATAAGAAACCTGCAGCAGTGATGAAAGCCGAGCTCTGCTTCTCCGTCGGCATGATGCGAGTACCTGG